CAAATATATATACAAATACATACATACAGTTATAACCAATAATAGTCAAGGAATGATTGAAATATATACATTTGAGGCTCAATATTTACAAAATTAAAGGTATAAAAGATTATTTTTAAGGTTTTTAAGGTTTTAGTAGGGAAAAGAAGTATAGTACAAAAGGATAAAAGGTATAAAATTTATTTATAAACAGGTTAAAAGCAGAGCCTCTTTTTTCACATATATTTGTATTATATAAAATATAGTACAAGAAATATGCAATAGTAAAATAATGTATTTGAGGTAGGCTGAATTTGAAATAGGTTAGATGAGATAAGCTAGAATGCAGATTTGCACACTTAAAATCAAAATTATTCTTGAAAACCATTAAATATGGCATTATTAATTATATTGAAAGAAATATTTCAGCAAAGTAAGTTTGAAATCAGTCTTTTGTGTATTGAAAATTGTCCTAAAATGAAGCAGAAGAGCCAAAATGGTCGAAAAGACCTGATATAAAAGGCTACAGTAAAGTATTGACATAGCAAGATGATCACGTGATTTGTTTAGACAATAGGCGTGGCTATAGCGGTATTACTGCTGAGAAAGTGGAGTATGCCAGATCACGTGGTTGTAAGAGCCGTTTGTTTACAGTTGTGTAGTCAATGGTGTCACGTGATGAAAACATAGACAATCCAAAAAAGGTTATTACTACTACACTGTTATTCTCAAGATCTAGGTCAGGTGAAAATCGTCTGCTAGCTGGCTATAGAGCAAGGCAGGTACATGGGGTGTATAAGATTATATAGACAAGCTTACAGGAGTACAATACTTAGTAGCTGTGATAAAATAGATTATATTATATTAACTATGTTATTCAGACTGATTTTAAACAAAATTGAATTTTTGAAAATTACATTATGAAATTTTTAGACTATCAAATGAACATTTTAGCTTAAATAATAGTAACAACAGGTTCTAAATTGACTACATCTATGTAGGGAGGATAAGACAGTAATTTCTTAAATTCGGAATCTTTATAATAATAATATAAATGTTTAATGTGGTTATTAAGGAGCTTAATGAATAATTCCTTAACATCGATGAACCTTTTGGTCTTATTATAAAAATTTCGACGCTTAATAATAGCTAATCTTACAAAAGACATAATAATATTGAGAATATTGTTAACTTTGTTACAGCTAGATATCTTATATGCAAGAAGAATATATGAATTAAACTCAACTTGGGTAAAGCCGCAAGGAATAAAATCAATAAGAAAGTTGCGTAGGAGTTCAATAATATTTTGTAGATGTGGACATGAAGTAAATAAATGTTGCATGTCTTCAATATTATTTTGATTACATAGTTGGCACTGATTGGAATCCAAAGTCCCATATCTAAACAGTTTTTCGTTAGTAAATATGATGTTGTGTGCAATTTTGAAATCATTTACAATGCAATCGTTACTTTTTAGGGGGATGAAGATATTCGGCCATACATGATTGAAATTTATATGAGGATATAGATGATTCCAAAATTGCACTGAAGTACTAGGCTGTGAAATAGTACTTCTTAGAGTATTATAGAAGGATTTAGATTTACTATTAATGATATTAACCTCGGTGTCATTGATCAGCAAGTACAAATTCTTGTTACTTTCATAGGTGTGGCTTTGGGTATTTACTACCTCTATCCATTCTTTGGAATGGAG